GTAAGATTAAAACTTTAAAAAAAACTTTTATCGGTATATCGTAAATATTATAATCTTTTATCTCGAAGTTTTGAATAATCTTTTCGATATAAGCTCGTTGTCCGAAATTAAGCGTTCGATTAGCGCGATTTCAAATGATTATTATGCTTAAGTAATAAGCTATTAATCCGAGATTAGTTATTTAAAAACGTTAAGATAAAGCAGCTTTAAGTCTATTAACTTCGGCTCGATCGCGGCCGAAAATAAATAAGTTATTGATATAAATAGCGATAATAACTTTTTCTTTATAAAAGACGCTTGCGTCGATGCTAAAAGATTTGAATCTTATTTCGATAAAGAATTCGAATAAAGTATTATACTAAACGCTAAAAGCTTATTTAAATCCGTAAAATGCGCGTTTTAATTTGCAAACTTTTTTAATCTCGTCTTCGAGCTTAATAAGTTATTTTACTTAAACGGATTCGGCAATTTTTTTATATAAAAACGCGGTTTTAACGTTTATTTAATCGATCTTTTAATTTAAAACAATAGCGATAACGAGAATCATTTTATAACTTATAAGCTTAACGATCGTAATAAAAGTCTTAATATAATTAATACTTTTTTTTTATTAATTTCTTTTAACAACTTAACGAGCTTTTTAACGGATTATAAAGCCGTTAAGTCTTCGCTTATATTTATATATTTATCGACCGAGAAAAACGCGTTAAGTCGTATATAAGTCGATAAAGTTTTAAGTATTATTTTCGTAAAATGATTTCTATTTTTCGGCTATAGCTTTTAACTAAGCCGTTCGATTATTATCGGTTATAGCTTATTTATAAGTTTTTAATTCGAAAGATTTAAAAGAATTAGCTTTAAAGAAAGTAATCTTTATTATAAAATCGAATAAAGCTTAAATATTAAAGCTATCTTTATCTTTAACGTGTTTGACTTTAAGTTTTTTTTTCAGTTTTAAAGTCTACTTTATTAAAAGTGCTATAAAAGCGATTAAATTAAGTGAGTTAAGGTCTTGATAAAGCTTAAAGTAAAGTTTAAAAAGAGTTAACGAAAAAAAAAGAATTCGAAAAATAAAATCTAATATACTTTCGAAAGACGAAAAGAAAAAAAGAAAAATCGAAAGATAATAAAAGCGATTAAAAGTATCGAAGATATAAAAGTTCTTTTTAAAAAGTGAAAATCGAAGATCTTAAGCGATAAGCTTTCGAGCTAAATAATCGTCGTTTTTAACGGTAAGCGAAAGGCGTAAGCATTTTAGCTTTGTTTTAAGCGAACTTTCGGTCTTGCGTTTTAAAAGCGTTAAAGAATAAAAATCAAAAAAGTAAAAAGCGAAGTTAAAGTATAAAAAAGTAAATAATCTTTTTATAAAATCTATTTATTCGATAGCGGCAAAAGCTAAAAGTTGCTTAATTATATACGCGTTATATGCCTTTTTAATAAGACCGTCGGTCGTTAAAATACGATAAATATAATTACTTTCGTATTTAATTAGCTTTTTGTAAACAATCCGTTTCATATATAATTTTGTCTTTTTAATTTTGCTTTCGAAAAATTAAGCTTTAAAGCCGATTATGCATAAATGCGAAACGAACGATTTATATAAATTCGTAGCTTTAAAAAGAGTTATGCTGATAAAGCTATAAAAGCGACGAAAGTAAAGATAAACGATAATACGAAGCAGTTTCGGTTATTATTTCGCATCGAACTTAAAACTTTGCAAAAGCGTTTTTATAATATCTTAAAGTATTTATTTAATCTTTTCGATAGCTTTATTTATTTATAAATTATATAAAATAGCAAGTTTAAATCGAACGTTTGTTTTAGTTAAGTATTTTTAAAAACGTTAAAAAACGTATTCGCTTTCGTTATCGATGCGAAAACGTATAATCTTTTTTCGATAAAAAGCTTAAAAAAGTTTAAATTTATTTAATGCTTTAAACTTGCACTTTATATTATAACATTCGACTTTTTTTATTTTATCGTAATAAAAGTAAATGAAATAAATCGAGCCGTCGTACTTTTTGCGAAAAGGTTTAATAATATTTATATAAATAAGCTCGTCGAAATACTGTGGTAAAGTTGCGGCTCTGTATTTATTTTGTCCATGTATATAATACTGATGCTAGGCACCTTTGTCACGTGGGTGCGCTGTATGCTCTGGCCTTGCTAAGCACGTGATTAAGTCACGTGCAAGCTTTTATATAAACGAGTAGTTGGTTCCTCCTTGAACTAGCACTATATCATTATATAATATAATACACGTACTTATAACACATATTCGAATGTTCTTCGATCGTCTTTTTTTTCTTTTTTTATTTATTTACGATTTTATTATAGTTATATTTATATATATCTTTTGATTTGACGTTAGATATATATCGGAGCTCTTTTTTTTTATATATATTTAATAACTTACGCAAGAAAACGAACCGAAGGTTGGTTTTTATACCTTTTTTAAACTTGCTTCTTTTACGAAAAGCTATATATTCGGAGTTCACGTTATACGCTAAGCTATTAACCATATGCTTTTGCGGTGTTCTTTCGAAAAGTATTCGATATACGCTAAGCTAATAGTCAAGTGCTTTTATATATAAGCGTCGAAGCTATTGCTTTAAAAGCGATCTTTCTTCGATTTGTGTCTATCGAGCATGCTATTCGATATACTCGATAAGTATTACTTAAAAAATCGTTATTTTAATTCGAAGATCGAGCTAGTTAAAATTCAATTTAATATTTATAAAGTATTATTCACTTAAACCATTTTGCACGGCGATACGCTCGAAGTATTATTCGTTTAATATACTTTACTTTTTCGATTTAATATCGCTTTTAATACGAGTCTACTGCTCTTTCTTTTTGAAAAAGGTAAGCAATAATTAAGTACCGGAAATACTACGCTAAGCTTAAAAAGTTGAAAATTCAATACTTACTTCGCAACGGAAATTACGCATAAAAACTTCGAATTGCTTTCGAATATCTTTCGCTTTAATAAATAAAAAATACGATAAGCGAAAATAAATGTTATATAATTCGAAACCGTTTCGGTATCGTATTATATTAAAAGCAAGCTATATGCTTATACGGAAGCTCGGCTATTATTCGACTTCGTTTCTATTTCGATACACTTAATTTCGATAATTATTCTTCCGCTTATTACGATTCTTGCGTTACGAAGTTAAACGTATTATTAATATTTATTATATCGATTTGGTTTCGATTATCTAGCTCGAAGCGATCGATATTCGACTTTTTAATAAATCATTTTCGACGTATCAAGATCTTATATCTTTATAGCATTTCTTTATTGTCACCAACGGTGACCCAAGATAAATTCCAGTAGTGGTGGTGATTAGTCATCCAATCACGTGAGACTATTCTATACGGATCTGGCAAGATTTCTGAGCGTGCCAAGACTTTTATTCCATGTCAATCTATTGAACTTTTTTCGGAACGGGTCGGCCCGAATTAAATATGAAACACAGCTAAGCTTAATTCAGCCACCGCCATCAATTCTGCCGTACGTAACGTACGTCGCTGCCTTACGTAATACGTAAAAGGCACTGCAGCTAGACTGCCAAACGTAACTTACGTAAGGCTGCCTTACGTAACGCACGTCGCTGCTACACGTAACGCACGCCGCTGCCTTACATAATACGTAAGGCAGCTAGGCTGCCACACGTAACCTACGTAAGGCAGCTAGGCTGCCACACGTGACCTACGTAAGGCTGCCACACGTAACCACGTGAGGCT